CAGCAAAGGATATAGCATGTATATAGATTCAATATTAATTCTGTATTTTTATTTTATTTTAAAGATAATACTTCAAGTTCAAATTCACAAGCTCCATGGGCTATTATTGGAGGGATAATAAGTGGCATTGTGGTTTTAATAGTCATTATAGCCATTATAATGTGTGTCCTGATATTGCGGTACAGGAGGTCAAGATCTGTGAAAAATAGAATAAGTTTGGCTACTGCAGTTAGCTATTCTAACACACATGATGAGTCATCATGTCAAGAATATTCTAAACAGCCACAAGCTCCTCCTCCTGCTAATCCTTATCATCAAGAACAAATCCCAACAATGCCTCTTTCTCAGCCTCATAGTGCTTCTCAGTATAATTTTCCTCTACAAGATTTTACTCCATTGGAGCCTTACCCACAACAAGTTCAATTGGGATACCCACAGCAGATGCAAAGCAACAGCCCATATCCTCTTGCCTTTTCTTCATGAAAAATAATTGCTCAATTGATATTTTTGATTTATTATTATTATGACTGTAGTATAATTATTGGTAGTTTACAGTTTATTATTTTGTGGTCCAGTAACTTTAAAGTGTGTTGTTGATGTGCTAACTTTTCAAATGCTTTAGTTTTAATATTATTTTTAGTTCAGTTATGTACAGTTAAAATTAGAGGATGGACCTATCCTGATAAAAACAGTATAATAATGGTATGTTGTAGGTTAAACCGTTAAAGTGCTTCAATATTACTCTCCCACAGTACAAATATTGAACTCTTATCATATCTAGTCTGTTTAAAGTCAACCATAAATACTTTACAGTATACACACATTATGTCATGCTTTTTATAATTATGCCCATTATTCAATGATGCCATTGCATTATTGACAAAGGAATTACTAAGTCACATGAATTCCTCCTACATAAATTGTTAGATTATACATCATCATGTTTGTATTATATAATGCACATACACTGATACTGTAAGATTAATATATATAAGTTATAGTAAAGTGGTATACCAGCACCTCTAAGAAGTGTCTATAATCCTTAATTAGCTTCATTTTCTGTAGTCACTATTTTGTTTAGAGCTCGAGTATTGTTTTCATGCATGGGTACTTCAACAAAAAGCAGGGTCACAAAGTAGACCAGGAAAAAACATGAAGTGCAACAATGTATGCATGATTCACTATAAATCAAAAAAAAGATAGAGAGATACATGACATGTGATGTGAGTCATGTCATTCTAAGCATGAGCCTGAAGTGAATAGTGATGCTGTTCTCGAGGCCCAGCATCTTGCTTACAGTTTGGAATTTAGAGGCTGAATGCAGTGAACCTGCAAACATGTACTCTTGTAGCCAGAGGCGTAGCCAGCTGATGGAGTGAGGGTGGGCATTATGACTCATTTCCTAGGATTTGTGTACTCAAAGCTCTTTTTTCTTTATCTATAACAACCATTCTATGGTGCACTGATAAAATTAGGACGGGCCTTGCCCACTCAGGCCCACCCCTGGCTACACCACAGCTTGCAGCTACACATGCACCTTTGCCACAATTATGAACCATAATAACTACACACCCAAGAGTTGAAACCTGAGTTAAGATGGATTTCAGACAGTCTCAATCAGTCCTGATATGGATGGATTTTATCAGGATCAGTTACTTCTGATGCTACTTCACTTAGATCTAGTACATGTATTAATAGCTGTGAACAATAGGTCAAAGGAAAAGGTTGGTCTTATAAGCACTTAAATAGTTTTGGGATTTGGCAGTCTGGATAATGGATTTTTGGCACTCAGTCACAATACAATAATGAAATAAGGCATGACGCAAGACCAATTATGATACTAGATAGTTCAGGCCAGAGTAGAGTCTAGCAGTTATGATCAGCAATGATACCTGTCAGGACTGTACCAGTACTGATATCACACTTGATTCATTAATATTTAGCAGCAATAATAATTGGGTAGATCTATGTAGGTACGGAGGGTGCATGCGGTTTGGCTACTCAAGACTAAGTGCAGTTAGAGGAAAGTGCAACTGAACCACTTCCTAAGACTACTGTAACAACTACTGTGATTCCTACTCTACGTGAACCTTTACTGGAAGTCTGGAATCTTCAGCCGACTAACTTGGTGGCATAAATTTACAAGTAAATGTGTGCACACTTTTCCTTTGATTGCATAACTTAATGAGTTAATTTTTAGGTATATAAAAAGAAGTTCTTTTAGTTTGTGACAAGTTAAAAAAATTTTAACAGTAATTGTACTTGGTCTTTTAAGTTGTCTAGTTTTATAATTTTTATTTTAATTTGATTACAAATAATAATAAAATGTATCTTTTTTTTAATTGCAAAGCAGCTAGTATTACCCAATCATTCAGTTTTGAATCTTTATGCTTCATATTGAAATTAAATTCATAAAAATATAATAAAATACTTGTACACAATGAGACTAATTAAAGCAATAATATAAACATTCAATGAGTAAAACACTATTGAGTATTGCATCAGTCAGATAACTGGCAGTGACTAGTTAATCATGCAAATTATACAGTGAAGTCCACACACGAACTGAAAATTAGGATTGAAACTCATAAAGCGCATTAATAACACTTACCTAAGCAAATATAAGCAGAAATGGCCCATGTTAAGGCACTAACATTAGCAGATGTCTTACTGGAATAAAGTGCTTGAATGTGCAAGCACTTGCTAAGGGACATCACAGGTATTCGACTCAGCTACATACATTAAAATGTTAATGATAGAGGGCATGTAAAATAGTTACTGACCAGAAGGATTGAAAAAACTGTATTTGGTATGAAGTGTAGCAGTGTAGACAAAAGGAACAAAATGACTCTGGAACAAAAACTTATAAATATAATAATAATAATAATTAAAATGATAACTAACCATGTGATACATGCTTTATTTTCAGGACTGAAAGCTTTATTTCCTTTGTATAATATTATTTAAAAAATGATGGATGGCAGCTACAAAAATAAAGTTATGTAAATTATTTTATTCAATCAATTTTTGCATAAAATATTCTAACTGACAATAATAAAATTATTTTGTAAAAGATGCAAAAATGATCAAATTTTGGTCAAGGGCAGGGTTTGAGTTTCCCACAGAATTTTGGCATAGTGTTCATGCAGTCAGTCAATTTTAAAGTTTACTCAAAAATTGACAAAATATCATATACTATTATAGGGTATTTTTTAATTGCTAGCAGATACTTTTTTAAGTACGCATACATGTTTTTTTGTGTTGTATGGCTAAATCCAATAAAAATTGGATGCTATTTTACAAATTTTAAAGTTATTTAAAAATTAGAACAAGTCTGTGTACTACAAGAACATAAAATATTAAAAAAAAACAAGATTGAGTAGGATTCCGAACGACCAACAAAAATACAAAATGAAAATCCTACTCTACATTGTACTCTTAATGTTCTTATGTAAAACTTATGAATCACCTTGCAATGTAGAGTAGAATTTGCACCACGAGAGTAGGATTTTCATTTTGTATTTTCGTTGGTTGTTCGGAATCCTACTCAATCTTGTTTTTTAAATTTTTTATGTTCTTGTTTGTGTTGATTTTTTAAATAATATTTATAATATGTTTTTAGTTGCAATTGTGATACTTGTTGATTTTACACAAACAATAATTTTCTTTATTATTTTTATGACTTTACAGCATTTATGAGACAGCAGTCACAGCATTAAATAGATATGCTGAAGGAATATCTACTGTACTGATGACAAGTGAAATTAATACTATAGTCTTGACTTGAATCCTTGTTCAAGAAGCTCCATCTAGTCATAATCATTGCATTATTATAACATTAATTGTTTTTAAAAATAAAATAATTCATTAAACACTTGATAAAAGAATAATATGTAAGACTAATACCTTCTTTTAGCTGGAAACCTCCACTAAGTAATGCAATTGATTCCAAGCATAGCTAGGCTAGGTTAAAACATTGATTGCTTTTCCCAGTTCTGAGATCTGAGCATGCGCGACCACGCCCAAATTTTGGAGCACATGCCACATGCTTCTATAATTAACAAAATGGCGACGGGAGGTAAGCTGGCCTGATACAGCAGTCATAAAGCAGGGGCGGATCCAGGGTTTTGGATATGGAGGGGTTGGGAAATAAAATGGTGCGCGAAGTGCGCCGCGATTTGACCACACCCCCTTTTTTGGTGCAATTTTGTGGTTAAAATCACGTAAAATTAACATTTTACACCATTTTGGAGCTCTTGTTTTGTTAATTATATTCATTAACCACAGTAATGTTGCTATAAAAACTAGGTGGTTAGCACTTCTACCACTGTTGCAACAATGAAAACATTAAAAATTTTTTGAGTTAGAATGTTTTGGGGGGGTTGCAACCCCAGCAACCCCCCCCCCCCTAGATCCCCCACTGTAAAGTCACTTTTTCTTATCTTGGAGAATGATTTTATGGGACATGGATCCCCCCATAAACTGTTGGAGTAGAGTGGTGTAGGAATTATACTTCTAGCACGAGTCAAGATTGAGATACAGCTCACCAACTGAATTGCCGGGCCAAGACTCAAGTTTCTTCAGCACGGTGATGATGATGATGATGATGATGATGATGATGAAGATGAAAAAAGGTGGCTGAACAAAACGGCCGGTTCGCCGATTTTTGGCTTTCCTCTTAAACTAGGTTTAGAGCCACGCTAATGGTACCAATGGAGTCCTCTGGTCAAGATGAGGTCCTCTAAAAAGTCTGGTAAGCATAGGAGCTTGTTTTCCCAGTATAGCAAGGCTGCAAAAGTCGTGGCAGCCATTTTGTTTAGGGGTGAATCCTACTTAGTAACGCTACCGCGTTACTAATACATGTCTTTGGCCAGCTCTTGCCATAGGAGGAAATTCTTTACAAATCCAAAATCAAAATCAAACTTTCTAGACAGTATAACAAACATGCATCAAAAAAATACAAAAGGTTCTCTACTTTTTATTTTTGATGAAATTTGGCCAAAATCCGTATCCTATAGTACAAGGCACTCTGGCCTGATTTTTTAGTGAGTTTAAAAATTCTCAAAAATCCAATTTAAATTGGACTCAGCTCAAACTAAAGAGAATAAAAACATGTACCATATTTCCTCAAATAAAAGCTCAGGTATCTAATTCTTAAAATGACATTTGGACCTTAAAAGTTTTTCTAAATAAAATAAAAATTCAGGCAACAGCGGGATTCGAACCTGGGACTTCAAGCAAGTGACTCCAGTAAGCTTAAAGCCTGGTTTACGCTTGCCATAAAATGCAACACAAATGAACACAAAATTGAAATTTGACCAATTTTGCATCAACTTCAAAGCATTTTTGCATCAAAAGGTCAAATTGCCCACGTTTTTTTGACTGTTTCGTTGAGTGTAAACCAGGCTTAAGGAGGTACCTACAAAGCATCTATGTTGGTGAAAGGCTAGGTTTGCATAATTATACAGTAGTTCCATTTTATTGCTAACCCCGTATTTTTTGCACCCTGTTTTTATTTGAGGATATACAGCAAATGCATCAGAAAAAATTATAAAAGTGGATACTTCTCTCCTTTTGATTTTTTTGCCTAAATACCATGTATTATGGTACTCTGACAAGTGGCTGCATAAAAGCTATACCAAAATCCTGTGGCAAAACCCTGTCCAACCTAACAGACTGTTTCATTAAAAATAATGACAGATCAAATTAAGCAATGTTGAGACACAATGTCTGAACATTGTTTAAATGTAATTTCAGGCTCTGCATGTACATGTACTATTATAGTGCTCTTCAGCTCATGAAGTATGCTTTTTAGCTCACTTAGCATGCTTTGTGGAAAACCCTGGTCAAGGCAATGGTTTAAAAATTTTCAATTTGGGAAAACTGTTATTTTGCCTTGACAGCTTTTCAATGGTACTTTTAAAAGCAATCATTAGCATTTAAAATTCATTTGCCTTTTTGTATTTTTTTGGCAATTTCCAATTATGATGAGTTGACAAAATAGCATGCAGCACTCCTAGAAATGGCAAAGCCAGTGTTGTCACATTTGACCCTGGCCTTCTTTCTGTTAGTAATTTACATGGTGGGGAATACCATTGGGACAATAATGTTATTCATTGAAATGTCTTAGTGCCAAGGGGATCGACAGCATTGGTAGTATGAATGTACAATGATGGCTGTCTAATTACAGCTCAGTGAATATCATTAAAATCTCATTTGCATGGCAAGTAGTCTGGCCCCACCTCTTCATACACCCCAAGAAATAAAACAAAAACTTTACAGCTTAAAAGCTATTGTATACATGTACTAACTTACATTGAACGGTACAAAGAAGAACATCAAGGTAATTCTTAATTGTATATTTATTATGAAAGCAGTATGAAACCACGATAATATACCTAAACACAAATCTAGGTTCAAATATACCAAGCAGTTTACCCAAATAATTCCATCAAGTATCCTCTTAAGCTGACACCTTTCGTACGTTTCATTGTACATGTTGTCCATACCTGAGGAAGTTTTATAATGAAAGAAAGAATGATTACAAATCCATTTAGAATATCCTCGAACATGGTCTAGATCTAGATGTACAAGCACCTCCCCTTTTCTAAATTCCAAATGGGCTGGGCTGGGTGACTGTTTTGCAGAGGACTTTCATAAGAGTCTGAGGCTGGACTGAGCCTGATTCAAAAGAGGCAAGTACTTATATATTTAAAAAAAGCAAGCACTTATACATTTAAAAAAGCAAGCTTTAAACTTGAAACAATTTTTTGAAACATACTGTGACATCACTGGTTGTGGGCTGGAGATCCAAATCCAAGAAGCCTCCCACCTTTTGCAATTGTTGGAGCCCCCAATCATTATATGGTCTGAACTTGTTCTATAGGTCTTCACTGTGTAATTTTTGTTATGCATAACATTACCATAATCTTGCATGCACGTGGTGTACTAGTGTCTATTTTCTGTTCAATTATTAGCTCAAATATAGTTATTATTCTAGTTATAAACTGAAAGTTACATGCAGGCAGTCCTAACTGAGCTAGCCACACAGTTTAATTTGTCTAGCTCATGATTTTAAATAATGGCAAGAGTACTGTGCAATGCCTATAGGTTTCAGTTTTTATGTAGTTAAGAATCTGGGGGAGGTGGCTAGAGCCTCCCAGGCCCCCACTTTAAATGCAGTGTTGCAATAAGAGCCCAGTGTATTTACTGGGTTCCCTTAAGCACACACTAGGATTATTCCTGTGTAATTTGACTCTTGTTTTTGTGCTGTAAAGTCTATTATAAATAATAATAATAATGTTGTTTCTTTAATCTTTCATTTTGTTTTATTTCACTTGTTTCTTGTTTTTGTCATTATTGTGTTTTATTGTGTTTGTGTTGTGTTGTATTGTGCTTTTTTCTTTCTTTATAATGTTAATAATGATGACAATAATAATAGACTATGATTTATAGTAATATGTCATTACTGTTTACGTAGTTAACCACAGACTAAGTAACGACAACGATAGGATATTTATAAGCACTATATGTATTGCCATAATGATGTACTTAAGTGTAAAGACTAACCACAATGATAGGATATTACATAGTTAACCACAGAAAAAATTTTCAAAGGCTGTAAATTTTGTGGATATTGCAATTTTATGAAGATTTGCGGAAATTACTTCTGTGAAAATCAAATTATTGGGCACAAGATGGCAGATGGTATAAATTCGCAAAAGATGAATCCACAAAATAAATTTTAAGGCTAATTCACAAAATGTACAGCTCTCGAAAACTTTGCACTTTTGCGCTAACTACTCTTGATGGTATAATAGTGATGCAATTTGATTAACCCTGTTTCATTCTCCTTAATGTGTTCCTGTTTTTTTGTGTATCTCTCTCTCTCTTTTAAGTTTACTGTTTACAATACAATATTCAACATTCAGAACAAATGGACCAGATGCATAAGCATAATTATTTATAATCAGTATCTGCTAAAGACTGAGTATAATTAGGACAACTAATGTATATGCATTAATATTTTTGGACACTGAAGTTATTTATGGTTTAAATAATGACTTCCCACTTTTAGATTAGTGTTTGCAACATCAGAAGCATAGATTTATTTGTTAAAAAAACACATTCTTAAAAATCATTTTAAAAGAACTTTTATAAATAATAATTTTGTTAAAATTAGTTTTTAAATAGTAGACTTTGATACCCATGTAGTACAGTAACAATAAACAGATAGTGGTCATTTTCATTTTGGTGGACCAATGCATCAACTGTGATTGTTAGTCAATTTTAATCAGTTCCTGGTTCAACCCTTTCCCATTTATTATATAAATAAATTTCAGTCTGACTATTTCTTAGCTCCTAAAATAAATTTTGCAATGTTTGTGTTCCTGAAAATATTAATTGCAGTGACTTTCAGTAGCAGTGTCATTAAGCAAG